GCTTGCCTTCTTTCAAAAATTACACAGATACACATGCAAATAACCTGTGTGTTGATGAGACCTAATTGCAAAGAATTTGTGTGGGGGTGGGGGTGGTAAGACTAGACTAGAGGGATCTAGCACACCGCTATCTCTGCAGCAATAACAGATCCCTCGCTGCCCACCTCCTCGCCCCATGCTTGGTCCCCTTGGTGTGTTCTTTTCCTGTGGCAGGATTATCTTGGATCGTGTGCTTAGTGCCTTCACTGTTCAACGCCGCTCCCCCCCAAGGTTCAGACTAGGATTAGGCCTTTCAAATCAACCACTGCAAATTTTCAGTCCTCACCAAAGCAATAGAAAGGAGAGAGGAGGACTCTTTAGCTTTGACTTTGTTCAGTCTGGCACCCTCCCTTCCTCCTGTGCCGCGGTGACCCTTCACACTCACCCTGCTTCCCTGCTGCATTCCCACGAGGACCACACCCCCGTCCTTTTGGGAGCCTGCCTCATCTTCTAAGGCTAGCCGGGCTCTGATGCCTCCTCTTACCCTTCCCCTGCTCTCCACACCAACGGTAGCAGCAGGTAAAAGGAGGTCGGCTGCCCTGGGACTTTGCCAGGGTGCCCGGAAAAGATCTGGCCTGGGGAGGAGAGGGCGGCAGTGGGAACCCTGCAGATGCTGAGACCTTCCCTTGCCAGAAGGGCTTGGCTGACCCGGTGCAGGGACGAGGACGGCAGAGGCGTCGTGGGGGTGGTGTGTGCATGTGCGAATGATTGAGAGAGAGTGTGTGTGTGAGAGAGACTCAGCTTGCTTCCCTTCTCCTAAGAAAAGTTTGCAGTCACTCTCAAAAGTTCAGTTTGTCCTCCAATTGCCTGAGCAGATCCTTCTAAGAAGAGTTCACTGGCTTTGTTGTGGTTTGGGGCCACAAATGGGAGCCAGGAAATCTACAAAGAATTTTCTAGCAGTGTAGCAGCTGCAAAGGTGAATTTTAGTAACAGGTTTTTACAGTTCTGTAAGATGGAGACAACCCTGTATTTTCTTACTTCTCCAGATAAAGCCAAATTTGAAGAACTTGATTTTTCCTGCTTACACTGGTTAGATTTAGGAAAACTGGAAATTGAGCTATTGGAATTTCAAGGAAGCTCTATGTGGAAAAATAAATTCTATGACCTGCGTGAAACACTTGAGAAGATAGAACCGATGACAAAGGAAAGCAGTTAGTTCTGAAAATGAAATCCTTAAAGTGTAGAATTCTCTGCCAAATAACTTTAAGTCAATGAAGGCACTTAGGATTGTTTTCCTTACTTTGTTTGGATCATCTTATGCTTATGAGCAGCTGTTTTCAGCATTGAATTATATCAAATCTGACACCAGAAACAGACTAACAGATGACCTGAGTGCTGCATGTGTTGCTCTCAAACTTACAAAGTATGAGCCAAGGTTAAACAAATTATCAGCATGCATACAAGAGCAAAAGTGACATTAATCAAAAGCATGCCAAATGCAAACTTTTAACCTTTCAATTAAAAGTTGTATCATTGAAAGCTCTGTTATTGTGTTTTGTCTTTTAAAACAAAAGATGTTAATGTATGAGTTGTTTTTTTCTAAACTAAAACCTCAATATTCAGGTTAAATTGCTGTTTTGGCACTTCAGGATAAATAAGTGTGTTTTGGGTTGCAGTTTGGGCACTCGGCCTCTAAAAGGTTCACCATCACTGTCCTATACCATTTCAGACAAGTGACTGTCCAGTTTCTTCTTAAAAACCTCCAGTGATGAAACACCCCCAACATTTGAAGGGAAGCTGTTCCACTGGTTAATTGGGAAGTTAGGAAGTGTTAGGAAGTTTCTCCTTAGATCAAGGTTGTGAGACTTCCTGTGGTGACATCGGGACGAAGAGAGGTGAGGAAGAACGGGCTCTGTTCTTCACCCCTTTTTCTTGGTGCTGGAGTGACCCTGTGGGGTGCACGGATCCCAGAGAGACCCGTGACGGTGTGGGAAAAACTCAAGAAGCGGAGCGGTGGAGGGCGACCACCCCTGCGACGAAGAGAAACTCTCAGAGCCTAGCACACAAGAGGCTGCCATCCCTGAATGGCGGCCCCAAAGTCCTGATAGCCCAGCTGAGAGGAGGAAGCAAGTTTTGAAGACAACAGGCTGTGGCAGATAGCAGATTGGATGGTGCACAGAGTGACCGTGACAAGCAGAGACTGCCTAGAAGAAGGTTCGTAAACTGAGGAAGGCAAAAGAGGTGGAAGAAGGCAGATTAAAGCTCCGGAAGAGCAGCGAATGGGCAGAGGTGAGAGCGATCAGAGAGTGATCGGGGAGCAGCGGATTGCCTGAGAGAGAAACTAGGAGATTTGAGACGAACAAAAGGGGGAGAAAAGAATGGTAATCCTCCAAAGCCTTTAGACTCAAAAGAAGAACGGGACATGATTGTATTAAGCGCTAATTACCTGGCTGTAGACATTAAATTTTGTCAAAGTGAGTGAAGAACATAGAAGGAAGCAGCTGGAGTAACAGAGGTGACAAACGTCCATTGAGGAGAACAACCATTACTCAGCAACTGTGCCTTTAAGATAAGAGAATTGAACTGGTGGAAAGCAAACACGAGGAGTGTAATAACTGATGAAATATTGAATCACTGAACTTTCTTTTTAGTCTCTTTTTTTTCCCTCTTCTTCTTTCTCCTGTTTAATTAGTTGATTTAAAGGTTTAATGAAATAAGTGCTCATACTTACATAAACTTGGTAACAGCTTGATACCTAGAAAAATAGTTTATAGAAATTAAGAACATTTGATTAGAGACCTAGAGTTTAAATATTTCCATTAGCCTGAATGTATTTAATTAATTGTATTTAAATTTACCATATTCATAGTTTATATTTATATCTACATATTTATATATTTGTTTTCTTAAGTTTTCAGGGGTATCTATATGTATGGTATTCAGCTTTGTTTGGGTATTTTCCCACATCATTATAGTTGTGCTTTTAAAGTTGTAGCGATGTTTCAGCAGAATCTCATCTGCCATCATCAGCCTTGTGTATTGTGTTCGTCTGTGAGTCAGGCTTTCACATCCCTTTCTGTTTTAAATTTGGTGCTAGCCTACTGCTGTGTTAGAATGGTTTTTTCTTCATCCTGATTGCTTGGGATTCTTGGTCTGTGTTTATTGGTCTTGGAGTTTGCTGTGTTCTGCTTGATTGGTGTTTCTAATATCTTCTGTTTTGTAGCGTTTTTTGATTGGCTGGCAACATTGTGTTTCCTGTATTGGAGGCTTTTAGTGCGGCATAATGGAGACCTAAAAGATGAACAGACCTATGGAACAGCTGTCCTGCCCTACATAGGAGGTACCACAGACAAAATCAGAAAGATACTACACAGGCATCACATCAAGACTGCCTTCAAAACAGACAGAAAAATAGCAGCCATCCTAAGAAACCCCAAAGATAAGATTGACCTGGAAAACCAAGGCATATATGAAGTCCCCTGCACATCATGCCCTGCCACATACATCGGACAGACCAATAGAAGAATAAGTACCCACCTGGATGAAGACAAAAATGCAGTAAAAAAGCTGGAACATACTTCCTCACTAGTCCAACACATGAAAGCCACAGGTCATAGCATCGACTTCAATGGCACCAAAACCCTAGCTGCTATAGAAAACCCCAGCTACAGAATTATCAGAGAAGCCAGAGATTGAAAAAAGACCTGAAAGCATGAATAGAAGAGATGACTCCACCAGACTGTCAATTATCTGGAAGCCTGCACTCACAAACAAAAAAATCTCCACACCACAAGCCAAGCAAATACCTGGGCACAAATAGACCCCACCTGATACCTCCAGCTCAAACACACCCCAACCAGGCACCCAGATGAAACCTAGCTTCCTAATAAATGATAGCCGTCCTTTTATCCGAAGCCAAGCCGCGCTAAAAGCCTCCAATACAGGAAACACAATGTTGCCAGCCAATCAAAAAAAGGGTACATAACAGACAGAAGATATTAGACACACCAATCAAGCAGAACACAGCAAACTCCAAGACCAATAAACACAGACCAAGACGCCCAACCAATCAGGATGAAGAAAAAACCATTCTAATTCAGCAATAGGCTAGCACCAAATTTAAAACAGAAACGGCTGTGAAAGCCTGACTCACAGACGAACACAATACACAAGCCTTATGATGGCACATGAGATTCTGCCAAAACGTCGCTACAACTTTAAAAGCACAACTATAATGACGTGGGAAAATACCTGAACAAAGCTGAATACCATTTATATATTTCTTTATATTTATACAGTTGGGTAAACTTTTTACTTAAAAACATCAAATAGGGGGCATAACTATAATCATACTTAATATATTTATAGTTTATACTTATATCTATCTATTCTTTATATACATTTATGTAGTTGGATAAATTTCGTATTCTAAAATATTAATAAGGGGGATAATTGTTATTGATAATTGTGGATGAATCTGGGATAATTGTGATTGTTTGAATAAGTATTTTACAGTACATATTATTTACAAAGTTATACAAATTTATAATTCTCTAAAAAAACTATTTTTATATTTTATAGTAATTGAAGTTAAGGGAACTCTACTACATTAAGATTTTATAGGACTGCCAAGACCTTTAAATAGAAAAACTGAAATTCCTAGGAGCTATAATAATTAGGAGTGTGACATTGATAAGCTTTTGAAGTTAATTGCCTATATTAATTGATGCTGATTTGGGACAACATCTATAGTATCTTAAAAAAACAAACTGAAATATTAAAAGAAATAGGGCGTTGGTACTTACCTGATACACCCGTTCTCTGTGAGCTGTTCAGAGCATCCAGTAGTGGGAGGTTCTTCGTTCTCTCCTTGGATAGGCCGGGCTTAATTGTGAGGATGCTCCTCCTCCTCCACGGGACTCCACCCTAGCGTCCCCCCATTTTGGCGAAGCCGAAGTGATGAAATCTTCGTGTCCTTCACCCTGTCTAACAGTTGGCCAGAATAGGACCCCACCAGGCAGAATTTGGGTGGGGCTGGATGCTCTTCACAGCTCACAGAGAATGGGTGTATCAGGTAAGTACCAACGCCCTTTCTCCAATGAGCTGTTCAGAGCATCCAGTAGTGAGACATACCGAAGCTTGGCTTGTCCTATGGGACGGCCTCCGTCTGGTGTGGAGTCCCCTCCTGGTCACTGTGGACCCATTGCAAAACTCTCCTACTAAAGGAAGCCTCAACTGAGGCAAAGACATCTATTTTATAGTGTCTAATGAAGGGCGATGGAGAGGCCCAAGTTGCCGCCCGACAAATTTCTTCTATTGGCGCTTGCGTGGCCCACGCCGCTGACATTGCAGTGCTCCTGGTTGAAAGTGCTGTTATGCCTCTGGGCACCAGTAATGACTGAGCCTCATATATCTTAGCAATCGTGGCCCTCAAGCACCTGCCGATTGTCGAAGGGGAAACATTGCGCCCCTGATTGGTAGGTTGAAAGGAAACGAAAAGAGCCTCCGATTTCCTGAAAGGTGTCGTGTGGTGCAAATATGTACATAGAGCATGTCTCACGTCAAGCCAATGCCATTGGCGTTCAAGGCCCTGAGTTGGCCGTGGACAAAAATTCAGGAGAACTAGTTCTTGTGCCCTGTGGAAAGCCAAATTAATTTTTGGGATGAACGTTGGATCTGGACGAAGAACTACTCTGTCGGAATGAAAATACAAAGGTCTTGTCTGACTGATAAGGAGGTCCACCAGTGAAGTCCATCTGGTCCACCAGTGAAGGGATATGAAGATCTTCAATGGTACGGTGACCCAAGACTTGGAGTTGCTTCTTCCTGACCGCTGGTACAGAAGCAGGAACCATTGCAGGGTTCTGGTGTGAAGCCGAGCCCAGGAAATAATAGAGATGCACGAGATCATTTTCCCCAATAATTTAGATAAGTTGGCCAGAGGAACCCACTTGAGCATCCTGATCTCTTGAGTTAATTGTCGTATGCTCTCTTGGCTATCTGGTGAGAGAAAAACCTTCCCTTCTACAGTGTCTACAACTGCTCCCAGGTGAATCAATCGAGTCGATGGAATTAAATGACTCTTTGCCCAATTTATGAAAAAACTGTGTTGTTCTAGAGTCTGCAATGTGATCTGAGTGTCTATAACTGCCTGTTGGGTGGATGCTGACAAAAGTAAGATGTCATCAAGATAGCACTGTAGCTGGACGGGTCTACCTCTGAGATGGGCGGCCAAGGCTGTGAGAACCTTCGTAAAGGTCCTGGGGGCAGAGGCTAAACCAAATAGAAGGGTTACATACTCAAAATGTTGATTATTGTAACAAAATCTCAGGAATCTGCTGTGAGATGGCCTAATTGGGATATGTAAATACGCCTCCGTTAAATCTATTGACATTAGGACATCACCCTGTCTAACGTCGAGCAGAATAGATTGCAAAGTGCTCATCTTAAACTTGTGATAGACCAGGAAACAGTTGAGGCGTTTTAAAACTAAAATTGTTCTCCACCCCCACCCCCAAACTTTTCGGAACAACAAAAAGATGTGAATAAAATCCGCACTGATTCGGAGCCACTGGTTGAATGGCTCGGATCTCCAGTAAATGATGGATAGCTGTCTCCATAAAAGTCCTTTTAGCAGGATCTCTAGAAGAAGGGCATGACATGAAGAAGTTTGGGGGAGTGGATTGAAATTCTAGTGCTAGACCAAATCTAATGGTCTCTCTGACCCAGGTGTCTGAGGTTGAAGAGTCCCATTGGTCTGCGAAGAGTTTAAGCCATCCTCCAATGGGAGTGTCAGTATTGGTCCTATTTGGGGCGGCAGAATGACCTGTTTCCTGCCCCTCAGAAAGGTCTCTTGGCTTGCCCTTTCTAGTCTTGTCCCCGAAGTTGGTTCTCTCTGACTGTTGCCCTGGTCTAAATCCAGAGGGTCTCTGGAATCTTGCGGAATATGGTCCCTGATAGAAGGGATGAAAGAAACCCCTCTAAAAGGACTGGGTATTTCTGCTATCTGATTTTCGAAAAAGAGAGGGGAGGATCTTTTTCTTATTTCTGGTTTCAATCAGTAGCGGATCAAGGGCAGAGCCAAACAACTTGTCTCCCAAAATGGGGGATGAGGTAAGCTTCCATGTGTGCTTTGTGTCAGCTTGCCCGTGTCTTAGCCATAGCAATCACCGTGCTGTAACTTAAGGTGCTATGGGTCTTGATGAAAATTTAACCAGATTGAATGTTGCGTCCGCAGAGAATTCTGCGGCTGCAATCAGTTTGGCTATGTCCTGATACGCCCTTATATTAGAGTTCGGTATGGTTTCCCTTAGGTGATGGAGCCACCTAAGGGAGAATCTTGTAAAAAAGGATGCAACCGTGGCCGCTCTTATGGCCCACGCATGTGACTGATGTGCCTTATGAAGAGCTAACTCAGCTCTCTTGTCCTCCGGTTTAAGCGCCTCCTCTGCTTCACTGGGAATAGTGGAGGAGAATGCTAAAGCTACTACAGGGTTGTCAACCTCTGGTGTGTTCAGGGAATTAGAGAATACTGATGCCAGATTGTAAAACTTCCTGTCGTATCCCGTGGGGGCGGGGTACATCGCTGCAGAAGCCCATTGTTTTTGTACCAGGTCCGAGAACATGTACAGGACTGGAATTACGTCCGCCTCAGCAACCGGTTGGGAAAAAATTAAATCCTCTGACTCCTCCTGCAACGCTGTTGGTTGGGCAGAGGGGGTCAATTTGTCCAGGCGTGCAGTGTTTTTAGCCTTGAACAAGAGGGACTTAATTGAGGGCAGAACAGACCCGTAAATGTCGGTTGATCTGGAGTGAGGCCCTCATCATCCGACATGCCCCTTTCTAGTGGATCCACCTCTGACAGGGCCGGGTCGCTGTTGCGTGCTGACACTGATTCAACTTGTTCCATTTGGTCAATTTGGCCTTCCTCATCTTGTACACCCTGGAGAGGTATGTCAGGGATCATAGAAATCTCCCCTTGGAGATGTACCTGAGTGTAGTGCTGTTCCATCCTGCTTAGCGACCGTAATGATTGGGAATCACAATCAAAAACTGCAGGTTACTGCCTGGCCAAAACGGTCTGCTGCACCCCCACTGCGATACCTTGTTGTATTGCCAATTCCATCCAAGCTCTCATCCTCACGGGGATCTCATCCATGAGGGGCTCCTCTTGACGAAGTCCGGCTGCTGTTGGGGTAAATGTGGCCTCCAGGACCCTTCGTGTAACTGGTGCTACCCTTGAGGTGCTAGGTTGTACTTGTAAAGCCGCACTGCACCTGGATGGCATGGACAGATCCAGGGGTGGTGGTGGAGTGGGGCTTGGAGCCTATGCTGCCCTAGAGGACGACGAAGCCTGAGAGTTTCTCTCAGCCTCCTGCATGCACTTTTTCATGTGCTTTTCCAGTGCATTGTGGCACCTTTGGGTGTCTTTCTCCACGGCTTAAGAGGTTCCTTTGCACTGTTTTGACTTTCTCTGGGTTTTAGACATGGCCTTTGAGGTTGATGCTCTAGAGCTACTACCGCTTGCCATTGTGACAGAAGGATTACAGTATAACTGTTAATAGAGGCTATAATGTTGGACAGTTGGCACGCCCAGGGGCCTGTTCCAAGGATGGACAGTGAGCCCTTAATAACAATGCTCCCCTCTTTTTTATTTTATATTATATTTTTTATTAACATTAATTAATTTCTTTTTTAATTAAAATATAGTTATTGTCCACCAATAATAGTTAATTAATTATAATTTGTACTGAATATTGCCAGATTAGCCAAATTTGAGAACACCTAATAGGCCAGAAGGAAAGACAAACTGCTGTTGAATTTACTGGCCTACAACAGCTGCCCTGCACAGGTGGACTCAGGCCTTGGTGCTCGCTGTTGTGCTGCTGGATCAGTTGGGCTGCGAGGGCTAAGCCAACTAATTTCCTCCTTGAAGGCCCCTGAGAATGGGGAAAAAATGGGGTTTAAATTCCCCTGGGTTCCTGAAAAGAGAACCCTGCTTGGGGACAATGCCTCTCACAGGCCTGCAATATACGGTGCTGAGCACTACCACGCGGTCTAAAAATAGTACAATGGTGCCGGCAGTTAATTCTGGTGTGCGAAGACCGGGCCAGCAGCAATCCCACGCCGTCTGAGGAATTTGCCTCAAACGGCTTCCCTCAACGAAGTTAAAATGGTGAGGAGGGGTAAAATGGCCGCTGAAGCCCCGACCCCAATCGGCGTTCTCTGAAGGGAAAGTAAAAGCCTCAAGCCGTTTGAATCAAACCGCGCTGATCAGAACAGCGTGGCTAGCACGGAAGTCGCTATGGCAAGGGCTAGTTACCTTGGGCTGGGGGAGACACGGCTTGAAGGCTGTTGCCTCCGACCACCCTGGGGGCATCGAGAGCACTCCCCAATGTTGTGACAAGCTCCGACGGCCAGATGGAATTAAAAGCCATTGGTAGCTCCCTTTGGCTCCCGGATTACACATGGAGCCTTACGGAGATAGATTTGAGATCAGACCTGAGGTTTTTTTGTAGTCTTTGCTCCTATTCCGGCCAAGGAAAAGAATAAACAATGCCTTTCTCCACTGTGGTGGAGATAGCATTCAGGATTGGGTGATCAGTCTCCGCTTGCTGATTGGACTGAGTCTGTCAAATCTTTGAGGACACTCCCTCTGTTGCTAGGGTCCTCCCAGAAATTGACTCAGTCAGCTAGCTGGACAACATGTTAATTTCTTCTCCTAAAGAATCAAAATTTGAAGTAATTTAATTCGACAAATAGGGGAAAAAAATCATAAATACTGAATACTATTTCAACAGACAACGATTGGCCAAGGGCCAATCTAGATCGTTTTTTTGCGGGAGGTGTGTAGAAACACCATCCACATCACATCCCTGCGCTTTGGTTTGGCAAGGCTCTCGATGGCTTAAATACGGCCGTGTGGATGCCTGTTTTACCGTGGCAGCATTGAAAGGGCAGAAGATTGCAGCGAAGGCAGAAATCTCCTCACACATTGACAGGTCAGGTAAGGAGAGTAACCTTTAGATAACGTAGTGATAGGAAGGCTGCAGAATAACTTGTGGAAACAACATCGGAATTAAAAATGGCAGAATGCTAGCCATGCTGTCAGGAGAGTTGAGGAGACAGCTTGCAGGCCATCACACTCTCTAAGCCCAGCAGCCCCAGACTAGATGTCTTCCTGTTATAGCCCAAGCCAAAGGACAAGGTTGCAGGGGCTCGAAAGAGCTCCAAGGCAGCTGAGCAGGACGAACACCATAGAGACAAGGCTCTTGACAAGTTGTGGGCTCAAGGAAAAGAAGCAGCCCAAACTTCAGAAGAAATGGCGCCCAGTATAGTTTCCCGCCTAAACAAAGAGTGACCGTTATTAAGGGGAGATAGGCAACTGCAAACTGACAGGAGTACAGTAATAGAAATGGCCTCAGGGGGAGCTAAAGAGCAATAGGAGTCTATTGAGGCTTCAGAGATTAGAATTTTTTTTTTCTCAGTCTGCCCAGCAACAGAGCAACTGACAGTTATAGGTCAGAAACCCAGAATGGCTCCAGACGCCACATTTACTTCCATGTCAGCTGGCATTAGACCAGTCAGGGGGTTAAGAGCCTGAATTCCAATTTAACATGCAGGCTCTTTTAAATGAAGCAGTAAGGCAAGGGGTGTCAGCTGTTTAAAACAGACTTGGTATTCGCCTTCAGAGGCTCCAGCTCCTTCATCCAGGCATAGTAGGAGACACAGGTTTCATCATGAGGATGATCTCTCCCTACATTCAGAATGAGGGTTCTATGCCCCTGCTGAAAGCTCCCACTCCATCCCATCTGACAGTGGGCAAATGATGGACAGAGATTACTCTGATGATGAAGGCCTCAATGAGGCTGAACAAGTCTCTATGCCAGGCCTGTTCCAACCAGCCATCTTCAGGTAGCTCCTCTCAAGGCTAAAAAAGCCACAGGGCGGGGCTTGGTTCCTGAACCACAGGAGCCTACTGACCCTTCTGAAGACCCAATGACCCACTATTTTCCCCAAAAAAACCCACACCCCCAAAGAAACCAGTAACAGCAGATGTCATCCCTGCGCCAAGGATGTTCACCATGGTCATCCAAAGGCAGTGGTCATCCCTTGGGTCAGGTCCAAGCCCTTCCTCCCTGGACAAGAAGCTGTTCAATGTGGGAGGTGACCACTCCAAGGCCCTCGAAGTGCCCACTGTTGATGCCCCAGTTACGGCCCTGCAAGCCAATACCGTCATCCCTGGGAAGCCCGAGGACTCGCTGAAAGCAGATGACAAGAGAGCTGAACAGATGTTGCAGAGAACACACCTGTCAGCAGCATGGGCAGTGAGGGCCTCCACAGCTGCATCCCTTTTCAACAGAGCCTCTCTTATCTGGCTCCAGGAGCTACAAGAGAGAATTCCACTGGACGATGTGTGATCACACCAACATGTGAACAAGCTATTAGCGGCAGTGGAATTTTCAGCTGATGCCACCCACAGTGCAGCCAGATTTGCATCTAGGGCAATAGGGGTGACTGTGACCTCTCGCTGCCTGCTCTGGCTAAGACAGCGGCAAGCTGATATGAGACGTAAGTGGAGGTTGGTCACTGCTCCCTTTAAAGGGGATCAATTATTTGGAGAGGCTCTGGACAAAGTACTGGTGTAGTCCAAGGACAAAGGGAAGGTCTTGCCATCCAGGTCCAGAAGAGGTCATTTAAGATCAACTCCCTATCTCAGATGTTCCTATTATAGGGTTCCTGAAGCAGGAGGGGGGTTTTCTAGGCCCTAGAGGCCTTTTGTCCCTGGGCAGGATCAACCCCAGGACAGGACATGTAGAAATCGCCCATTTAACAATAAGCGGCCCTTTTTAGGGGCTGGGGGATCATCCCTTCCAATGCCCCAGATAAATTAGATGTCAACCCTCCCATTGGGGGACGTCTGGCATTATTCGCCAGGTGTTGGGAGGAGGTAACCACAGACGCTTGGGTACCGAAGACTGTCAGCTCAGGTCTTTCCATTGAGTTCCTCTCTACACCCCCGAGGTTTTTTATTTGCTGTCCTGTTTCCAAGAACAGGGGGAGAAAGGTCCTTATGGAAACAGCTATTAAGCACCTACTGGAAATCCAGGCAATTCAGACGGTGCCTGAAGACCAACAGGGCATGGGATTTTATTCCATCTTGTTTATAATCCCTAAAGCCTCGGGGGGATGGAGGGCAATTCTGGACTTGAAGCATCTTAACCACTGGGTGAAATACAGGCGGTTTAAAATGCATTCCCTCCAGTCAATTCTAGAGGGGATTAAGGAGGGGGATTTCCTGACCTCCATAGATTTAACAGAGGCCTACCTTCATGTCCCCATTCTTCCAGCCCATAGACAATTCCTCAAGTTCTGCTATAATGGGAGGCACTATCAATATAGGGCCTTGCTCTTTGGGCTTTCCTCTGCCCCCAGAACATTCACAAAGCTGTTGGCAGCCCTGGCAGCCCATCTCAGAGCCATCCCAGTAACAGTCCAGTGTTACTTAGATGACATACTGGTCCAGTCATCCTCCCCATCTCGAGCAACAGAGGATTTGGAAATCACCATTCAGGTGCTCCAAGAGCATGGCTTCTCTGTTAACAAGGCCAAAAGCCACTTCACTCCAACCACTTCTCTACTCCATCTGGGAACTGTAATAGATACCATTTCCTGCAAGGTGTCCTTATCCCAGGAACGTCAGGGGAACATCAGGGAGTTAATTGGGCAAGTAAAACCTAAACACAAGGTGTCCCTGGCTATGCTTTCCAAGATCCTGGGGAAAATTATATCTTGTATCAATATTGTGCCCTGGGCTAGATTCCATGCCAGGCCAATCCAATAGTTTCTTCTCCCGTATCAGAAGACAGGTAAGAGTTGTTCCCTTCTGCAGGTCTGATTGACTCCTCTGGTCTTGCGATCCTTATGATGGTGGTCATCTGAGGCCCTCTCCCTGGGGCTCTTATTCAAGGAACCTGACAGGTTAGTGCTGACCACAGATGTCAGTCTCTATGGCTGGGGAGCCCATATTCAATCCAAGGTGGTCCAGGGACAATGGTCCCAAGCAGATTTGGGCTATAATATTAATTGGCTAGACCTTAGGACAGTCCATCTGGTCCTGAAAAACTTATCAGGTAAGGACATCCTGGTTTTGACTGATAATGTGTCAACCAAGGCGTACATTAACCACCAAGGTGGGACACATTCATGGCCGTTGATGCTTGAGGCAGAAAATCTGAGACACCAGGTATCACTCAGAGCTGAGCACACGTGGCCAAAGTTGAGGCTGACTGGCTTAGCAGAGCCACTGTTGACCACACAGAGTGGCATTTGCCCCCCAATTTGTTTCAGAAGCTGTTGGAGTGATTTGGAGTAGCAGCTGTGGACCTCTTCGCTTCCCAGGACAAAACGCAACTCCCGAGGTTCTACTCCAGGTTTGCGGTTCTGGGGGCAGAGGGAACGAATGCCTTACGCAGCCCTTGGCCACGGAAGCTACTTTATGCCTTTCCTCCCCTGCCCGATCACAAGAGTGATCCAGAAGCTGTGGTGGAAAGAGCAGAACTTATCCTTGCCTCATTGGCCCAGAATGGGCGTTGGTCCTTACCTGATACACCCCTTCTCGGCGAGCCGCAAGGAGCATCCAGAGAGTGGGGGGTGATTCAGAGTCCTCTCTCACAGGCTGAGCTTCAATTGAGGAACACTCCGCCCCCTCACGTGGCTCCACGCTGCGTTCCCCAGTTTTTGCGAGGACGAAAAGGAAAGGCTATGTACTTGTCCTACTAAACTAGTGGATCCTTGGCTGAAACAGGTTCCCCCACCAGATGGAGAAAAAGGGTGGGGCTGGATGCTCCTCGCGGCTCACCGAGAAGGGGCGTATCAGGTAAGGACCAACGCCCATTCTCCCTCGAGCCGCTCGGAGCATCCAGAGTGGGACATACCAAAGCTTGGCTGTCCTACGGGAGGGACTCCATCTGGGCCGGAAGCCCCTCTGGGTCACTGATGACCCTCTGTAGGACTCGGCGGCCAAACGAGGCCTCTGCTGAGGCATACACGTCTATCTTGTAATGCCTGATGAAGGGAGACGGGGAAGCCCAGGTGGCTGCCCGGCATATATCAGCAATTGGGGCTTGTGTGGCCCAGGCCGCCGAAGTAGCCGCATTCCTGGTGGAATGAGCGGTGATTGGTAGCATTTGGAGATAGTGGCCCTAATCCAGCGGCTGATGGTTGAGGGGGAAACCTTGAGCCCCAAGGACCTGGGCTGAAAGGAGAGGAAAAGGGATTCCGATTTCCTCAGGGGCTGGGTGCGCTTGATGTAGATGCGCAAGGCCCGCCTAACATCTAGAGTGTGCCAGAGAATCTCCCTGTCCCTCGAGGGTCTAGGACAAAAGTTTGGTAAGACCAGCTCCTGCAACCTGTGGAAGGCTGAGTTGATCTTAGGCAGGAAGGTGGGGTCGGGACGAAGAACCACCCGGTCAGAGTGGAACACACAAAGGTCCTTCCTAATCGATAAGGCCGCGATTTCTGAAACTCGCCGAGCCGACGTGATGGCCACCAGAAACACTACCTTAAACGTTAAGAAGGGAGGACTCCCTAAGAGGCTCAAACGGGTGTCTTGTGAGCGAGACCAGGACCTTATTGAGGTCCCAGGTAGGGTATCTGTGAACAGTTGGGGGGCACAGGTTAGTGGCACCTCTGAGAAAGTCCCTGACCCTAGGGTGATGGAAAAGGGAGCCGAAGCTATCGCAGGAGACGACAGTTGCCAGGGCTGTGACCTGCCGCCTCAGGGTGTTAGGGGAAAGCCCCTTGAGCAGGCCCTCCTGGAGGAATTCCAGAACCTGGGCAACAGAGGGAGAGAGGGGGTTGATTTGGGACTTATGACACCACCTGCAGAAGCCATTCCAGGTGGCATCATAAATTCGTGTGGTTGAGGGGCGCCTGGCGGCCAGGATGGTGTCGATTACCTGACTGGAGAGTTTCTCTTTTCTTAAATGGCTCCATTCAACCTCCAGACGGCTAACTGGAGCCATTGAGGGTCCGGGTGCACCAGGGGCCCCTGGGAGAGGGAAATCCTGTCCGGGGGAATTCTCCAGGGGGGTGCTACTGACAGGTTGCGGAGGTCCGCAAACCAGGGACACCTGGGCCAATAGGGGGCCACCAGCAGCAGATCCCCCTTCTCTAGGATGAGCTTCCGGATCACCCGGGGCACTAAGGCTGGGGGGGGAAAGGCGTAGAGGAGCCCTGGGGGCCAGGGGCAGAGAAGTGCATTGTGGTTCTCCGACCCGTGGGACGGGTATCTCGAGAAAAACCTGGGAAGTTGAGTGTTGGCCGGGGAAGCGAAGAGGTCCACCACTGGTGGGCTGAAGATCCTGGACGCCTCTCTGAACAGGGATGGGTGGAGGCGCCATTCTGCCTGGTCCACCGTGGCCCTGCTCAGCCAGTCCGCCTGGATGTTGGAAACTCCGGAAATATGATCTGCCCTCAGCGAGAGGAGGTTGGACTCCGCCCAACGGCAGGGGTGCTTGGCCTCCCTCATCAGTTGGATGGACTGGGTACCCCCTTGCCTGTTGATGTGCGCTTTGGCCGTGACGTTGTCCATGAGGATGAGGACGTGACATTCGCGCACCTGAGGGAGGAAGTTTAGCAGGGCCAGATGGACAGCGTGAAGTTCCAGCCAGTTGATATTGCGACCTTGTTCCGCCCTTGACCATCTGCCTTGAGCTGTGAGCGATTTGGTGTGGGCGCCCCATCCGGATAAGCTGGCGTCTGTGGTAAGGGTAAGCCTCTGGGGTTCCTTGAAGAGCTGGCCCTTGTTGATGGCGGGGTTGGTCCACCAGAGGAGGGAGGAGAGGACCCTCGGAGGTACCTTGATGCTGGATCTCGAGTTGCTTCTTCCGGATCTTTGGAATGGGAGCAGGAACCACTGCAGGGATCTGCTGTGTAAACGGGCCCAGGGAATAATGGATATGCATGAGACCATCTTACCTAGGAGTTTGGAGAGGTCCAGTAAGGAGACCTTCTTTGACCATCTAATCTGTTTAACCAAGGTTTGGATACTGAGGAATCTATCTGGAGAGAGGAAGACCCTTTCTGATACTGAATCAATTATGGCCCCCAGGTGAATAATTCGGGTGGAGGGAGCCAATTGGCTCTTTTTCCAGTTAATGAGGAATCCGTGGGTCTGGAGCACGGAGAGAGTAACCTTGGTGTCCCTTTCTGCCTGGCGTTTGGACGGGGAGAGGATGAGAATGTCATCCAAATAGCAATGAAGGCGTACGGGAAAGCTTCTAAGGTGGGCCGCTAGGGCCGCGAGGATTTTGGTGAAGGACCTAGGGGCCGATGCCAGACCAAACGGGAGGGCCACATACTGAAAGTGGCAGTTGTCATAACAAAATCTGAGGAATTTGTGGTGGGAAGGCCGAATTGGAATATGTAGGTATGCTTCGGAGAGGTTTATGGAGGATAGCCAGTCCCCTCGCCTGGTACCCAAGAGGATAGATTGCAGGGTGTGCATCTTGAATTTGCGCTGAATTAAATGACGGTTAAGACGTTTTAGATCTAAAATGGCTCTCCATCCCCCGGAATGCTTGGGGACCACGAAAAGGTGGGAATAGAATCCCCATCCTCGCTGGGCTGGGGGAACGGGTTGGATGGCCTGAATGTCACAGAGATGCTGGATGGCGGCATCCATCAATTGACGCTTGGAGGGGTCCCTTGAGGGGGGCGATGCCATGAAGAAGTCAGAGGGGACGGACTGAAACTCAAGGGCGAGACCAAACCTGATGGTGTCTCGAACCCAGGCATCAGTGGTGGATGCATCCCATTGGGCGGCGAAGTGTCTGAGGCAGCCGCCAATGGGGAGGGAACGGGCTCTGTCTGGGCCGACGGAAGGGTCTTCCCCCCGATCCCCTATAGGGCTTCCGATAGCTGCCGCCCCTTCTGTGGGGGTCGGAACGAAGGGGGTCTCGGGTATCTGGGCGGAAAGGAGGGCTGATAGAAGGGACGGGGGGAGCCTCTCCGAAAGGGCTGAGGGCCTCTAGGTTCCGACCTCCGGAAGAGGGAGGGCAGAAACTTCTTACTGCGGCCCTCGACCAGCAGGGGATCTAAGGCTGGGCCGAACAGCTTGTCCCCTTTAATGGGAGCGGAAGCAAGTTTAACTTTATTTTTGACGTCTGCCTGCCAGTGCTTGAGCCAAAGCAGGTGGCGGGCCGTAACATGGGAGGTTATCGCCCTAGAGGCGAATTTTACCGATTGATAAGTGGCGTCAGCTGAGAATTCCGCTGCCGCCACGAGCTTTGCTATGTCCTGATGGGCACGTGTGTTGGTGGAAGGGACGTGCTGCTTCAGTTGACGAAGCCACCGGATTGAGGACCTGGTAAAAAAGGAGGCGGCCGTGGCCGATCTAATGGCCCAAGCATCTGCTTGGTGGGCCTGGCGTAAGGCCAGTTCCGCCCGTTTGTCCTCTGGTTTTAGAGCCTCCAAGGCCTCGCTGGGGGTGGAGGACGCTAGGTCCACGATGGGCTGGTCAACTTCAGGGGTATCTAACAGACTGGAAAAGTCCGAAGCGAGATTAAAGAATCTCTTGTCTTGGTTGGAAGGCGCGGGGGGACCCCCGTGAAAGAAAGCTGCTTCGTGACCAAATCTGAAAAAATGGGTGGGGCCGGGATGACCTTGGCCTCCACCAGGGGCTGTCTAAATATGGAGTCCTCTAGGCCCTCTGGAGTGGAGCGGGGGGCAGAGGGAGACTGAGGAAGTAGACCGGACATGTTTTTGGCCTTAAACAGGAGGGACTTGAACATGTGGGGCTTGAATAACCCCACAAATGTAGGCTGGTTGGGGGTCAGCCCCTCATCCTCCGACATTCCCTCTTCGTTCAACTCAGCCTCTAAAATAGGCTCACTGAAACCGGAAGATCCCATATGGGATTCCTCCTCCTCTTCCTTGAAATAATCGAAGGCTCCTTCCTCCTCCTCTAGAACCCTTTCTGGAGGAGGGCTACCCCTCTGTGAAGGTACCTGACCAGTAGAAGGATCCGATCCTGGAGGGGATCTGATAGACAGAGACTCAGGTTCGGGAGCCCTTGGAGAAAAACCGGGTCTGGACATGTGTTGCAGCCCTTCTGCAATGCCCTGGCGGATGGCCACTTCCATCCAAGCCTTGATATGAGCCGGGACCTCCATGGGAGAGGGATCCTCTTGGCGCAGGCCAGCGGCCGTAGGTGTAAAGGTGGCTTCGGGAGTTCGCCTGGTCGATGATCCCGCCTGAGGACCCTGAGGTGAGCTGCGCCTGGACCTGGAAGAGAGGTCTGGAGGAGGGGGTTGAGTAGAGGTGGAGGGAGTGGGAGGAGGAATGGCTGGAGGCCTCGAAAGTGACTCCCTGGATCGCCTGTCAAACTCCTTCTCCAGCGCCCTGTGGCGCCTTAAGGCGTCCCACTGGGAGGCCTTGGAAGATTCCTGAGCCTGCCTGCGCAAGTGGTAAGACTTGGACTTAGCCTTCAAAGAAGGGTGTTTGGAGGAATTGTCATCTGCCATATTATTGTGAAAATAGAAAGTGTCACTAGAGGCGGTTGGCTCGCCTAGAGTTCGGCCTATGAGAAGGCCAGGTGATCTCAGAGCTGGCCCACACCCCCTTTTGGAATTTAGAGTCAACTAGTGCTAGCAAAAGGTAAAAATATATGCAAGAATAGTATTTTTTTTTTGATGTGAAGAACTTATCTGATATGCTTTATGCTATGAATAGAAAAGGAAATTATTATTTTTATTTTATATTTTATATGTATGTATGTGTATGTATACATATATATATATATATATATATATATATATATATATATACACACACACACACACACATACACACACACACACACAATAACAAGGTTGAGAAGAAAAAAACTTGGATTGAAGGGTAAACGAAACTAGCTAGCAGCCTGTCTCTCCGAGGCTGAGCAAAAACTGGGGAACACAGCGTGGAGCCACG